GGTGACCTAGGGCAAGTGGCTTAACCTCTCTGAGCTGCCTTAATCTCTCCCTTTGTGAATTGAGTATGTGGAGAGACCCCATTTCACGGGGTTGTTATTCCTGAGATTAAGTAAGCTGGAGCCATAGAAAGGGAGTCCTGGGTGGTATAAATGGTTAAGGCTTTCAGCTGCTCACCAAAAGGTTAGAGGTTCGAGTCCATCCAGAAGTGGACTGGCAGCCAACTAATGAAAGCTGAGCCAGTGCAAACCCTGTGGAGCACAGTTCTGCTCTTACGGTCCTGGGGTCACCATGAGTTGGGGTTGACTCACCAGTAGCTATTCTCTTGGTCCATAGAAAGCACTTAATATCACGCCTGGCACATAGTAGGTGCCGACCAAATATACCAACGCTAATTCCATGGAGCTTGCCTGGTGCTACATCTGCTTCTGGAACTTGTTACAGAGACAAGTGTCTGAGGCCAGCGTCTCCATGTAGATACTTTCTGGAGGTTAAAAAGAATTCTGTGCAGTGAAATCCTTTCAAAGGCAGAAACCCCATCAAACGTTTTGATCCACAAAAGGAAACGGAATCCCCACTTATTTGACAATGTCTAGACTGGGCACCTGTGTAGAAGACAGAGTTTATTAGTGGTGACTGGGGCGGGAGGGAGAGGGGGACAGAAAGGGCTCATTGCTTGGGGGCCCCTGAGCATCTGTGAAGGGTGATGGAAAGATCTGGAAACGGGGAGAGGTGATGGTTGCCCAACACAATAAACATCCCTGAACTGTACATGTGACTTTGTTATAAGCCTATTTACTGCAGTTATAACAACACCAAGAGGGAAATGGGGCTCTCATCATTTGAAGGCTTATGTAGTAATTGGACAGAAGTTGTCCTTGTTTCCTGGACCTGGATAAGACCTTCTCCTTAGGGAGCCCCTGGGTGGTGGCCCCTTGCATAGCTGGTGGCTTGGTGTTAGAGCTGCAAGGCCCAGTGCTGCCCAGAAAGCCCGGAGGACACATTTCTCCCTTGCAGTGCCTGGCAGAACGTTCTCTTTAAAGAGCCCGAGAAGCAATTGTAGGCCAGTGCCCGGAGCAGCTGTGTTTCTCGGAGGAGGCGAGTCCGTTTTGTCACTCTTGACTACATCCGGGGATGGAAAAAGCCAAGTGCTTTCTCAGGGGTCCGTCTGCGTAGACCGTGAGCTTGGCGGCACCACCAGGACAGCCTCGTTCTTCAGCCTCAGAGGACTTAGGGCTCAGATCAGTCTGGACGTTTCTCTGCGGAGGCTGCAGGGTGCACCTGACCATCCGGGTGGTCCGTGCGTCCGTGATGAAGGAGGCCCTTTGTCATCCCTGGCTCAGGGCCCTGAAGGCTGAGCGTCAGTGTGATGACTGTCCCCCGAGGGGCTGCCCTAGTTGGTGAAGAGGGGCTTGCTGCACTTTGTGGCTGCCAGGCGATGCTTTGGGGGGGGGGGTGAACTGGAACCCCAGAATGCTCAGGGCCTGAGTCCTGACCGCAGGTGTGTTGGGAGGAGGGAGGTGAGCAGTGGGGGCTGGCCACTGTCTGGCTTTCACTGACTTCTTTTGCTTACTCCTGGGCTATTGCTGTTGAGAAGGTAGCAAAAAGCAGCCCTCGGAGAGCCTTTGTGGTCGACAAGCTCAGCTGATAACCAAAGGTAACCAGTTCGAGTCCAGGGGTGCGTCAGAAGGAAGGCGTGGTGATCTACCAGAAAACCAGCCGCTGCAAACGCGCGGAGCCCCATTTCCTGATGCATACGGGGTGCCATGAGTTGGCATCGACTTGACAGCAACTTTTGTTGGAACAGTGATCCTGGCGCGAGTCTGAACCCCACTAGCTTTTCCTGGAGGGAGAAGCAGTCTCTTCCCAGTAACTGGTCAACCCCCACCGCTTGCCCAGCTGTCCCCAGGATGAGACAGCTGGTGTAGATTTTTGGGTTATTGACGCACAGACTCTCCTGTTCAAGGGTCAAACGCATCAGGACCCTTGCAGTCCTCCTCTGGGCTCCTCGGCTGTGATTACCTGGGCTCGGGACTGTAGTGGGAAGATTCTCATGCCCAGGGGTCCCCCTTAGAGATGGATGCAGGGTTGTATCCTTTCTCACTGGTGATGGTCTACACCAGGGTTTCTATCCTCACCACTGGTGATGCTTTGGGCAGAGTCGTTCTTGGTGGGGGAGGCTGGACTGTGCACTGTAGGACCTTCAGCAGCACCCCTGGCCTCTACCCACCAGAAGCCAGTAGCACCCCCTCCAGTTGTGAAAACCAGAGATGTCCTCACAGAGCACAGCCATGGGATTTTCAAGGCCGTTTTGGAAGCAGAACATCAGGCCTTTCTTCCGAAGTGGCTCTGGAGGAGTTTGAGCTGCCAACCTTTTGCTTGCTGGTGGGACACGTAATGTTTTGTGCCACCCAAGGGTTCCTTGGGAAAATCATACAACCTTCGTGGGCCTCAGTGTCTTCATCTCTAAGCAGAGATAGGAGGGTTGTATGGGGATTCAATGAGATGAGATGTTTGCAGATGAAGATGTTTGCGTGACATTTAGACACAGAGAAAGTGCAAAGTCTGTAGTCGACACCATTGCCAATTATTTGGGTGAGTCAGACTCTGGTCTCCATCCTCTTATCTGCTGATGAGATGCCAGGGGA